TGATGGTCATCATCCCCGAAGTCCAGTTTGGCGCAGGCCGACACATTCAATACATCGAACCGAAGAGCAACATCGTCACAGGCCTTCACCTCAATTTTGTCACGCAGCCTTTGTGTCTCATTGCGCTTTGTTTAGCCAAAGTTAGTGTAGGCATGTTTCTTCTGCGAATAACGCCATCGGGAAAATTTCGACACGTTATTTGGGGAATCATCATTTTTACGGTATTTTCGGCACTTGGTAACTTCTGTGGGTTGATCTAGTCCAGAACTGGAGGGTTGAATCCGATCTCGCGCTGATATCACTTAGTGACCGTCTTCTTCCAATGCCAGCCGTTAGCATTCACTTGGGATTTCTCTATTGAAGGAGGAAAGTGCATCCCCCAAGCAGATCTCAAGTTCGCCGCCTTCTTCAACTCGAGTAAGTTACACAACGTCCCTCTTAACGGACGCTACGCGTGTCTCTAGACTAACAGTTGTAAGGTGTATCTGTCTTGACCGATCTTCTATTCGCTCTATTGCCAGTGCCGATCATGTGGAAGGTGCAACTAAATTGGAAAGTCAAATCTGCCGTCATTGGAGTGCTTTCTCTCGGGATTTTGTGAGTATTCAGCGCGAGCTCTAAGACTTACCCCGCTGACAGCCATTATCAGTGCGACTATAGCAGCGGTTATCAAAATATCTTTCCTGTCGGGTTATGGTAAACACGGAGACTTCCTCTTCAACAGCACTGACATAACAATCTGGTAAGTTCTCGGCAATCTCAATGGTCTTCAACGCCGAGCCCCGGTTATTTAACATCTGCGCTTCCAAGGACGACCGTCGAAATATGCACAGCGATCATTGCAGCCTCGATACCATGCCTCAAGCCGCTATTCAAGGCCATACTCTCTGGGTCATCAGCCGAACAATACAACTCGTCAAAGTACAACAACGATGGGTACATGCGGAACAAGAACGCAAGCAAGTCAAGAAGGGCGCGCACTCCGGAAGGAAACTTTGAGATGTTTAGCCAGTCTCGACATACAGCGGCAATTCGCTCAGGCTTTGGATCCAAGATGGGCTCGGAGGAGAGCATTATTCCGGACCACGGTAGCGGTGATGAAGGCATCACAAAGACGATGCAGGTGTCTGTCTTTGTAGACGAACGGCAGAAGAGCCCCAAGGATCTTGTATAGCTGGTGCATATGGGATAGAACGAGGAAACACTCTTCATTGATATGAGTTGATCTGAATCAATATTGTTCTTGCAAGAACCTATCTCATTGTCCCACTTTGCCAATATTGAAGCGTAGTATTGGCCTAGGATCATTTTGTATATTCGACAATCATCATGGGGAATACAGGAAGATGAGGTGGGCTTTCTGGCCTACCTGGTGGCCCAGCGTACTAGCTATTCGACACGAAGCCTTCTTTGAACGACAAGCTCTATCACTGAATACCATCTCTCACAGTCGGCTTGAAGAAACCAACGAACACTCAGAGTCGCTGAAGCTGTGATGTTCAACCGAGTCTTGACGTCATTGACAGGTAAGCAACTCAGCCATCCTCTCCAGAGATTCGAGGATTCTTCGCGCCGCAATCCACGCTGACTGGAGCAACAAATTCGCTGACTGTGCACCTGGACATGTGCTGGGGGACTTATTCAGATTCCCAAACGCGCTGAGGACGATTTCCATCAAAGAGCTGTACACGCATGGACTCGCAACGATTAGCGTTCGGCTGATAGCCGACAACGTGAAGTTTCGTCAGAGCGTAGAACAATGCGCTGCGGCACAGGTTTCAATTGCTTGGAAACGCATGCAAAGTCTGTGCAAAAAGTTGAGACCACGACTCCGTGATGGAAAGACATTAAAAAGCAGCTTCTTTCTGCACACTCATTTTCCTTGTTTTTCGATCCTGATTACGCGACAACTTATCCAGTAACTCAACGGTTCTACTTAGTTGCCAAGATGAAGTTCTTGCTATCTCTCGTCGTTCTCGCTGCCGCTGCGACGGCCGCAAGCCCTGCTCTGCTGACGAAGCGCGCCGTGTATCCCCAAGAAGGTCAGGTGTGCTGCCGACACGACCGAGCCGAGAACTGTGTAGGTGACCAAATTTACCCAACAGGGCTTTTCAGCGCAATTTGGCTAATCTGGCGATGTGTAGATCTGCGTCGCTCGCGATAAAGGGGTTGGTCTTGTCTCAATAAACCGATAATTATGGGAGCAAACAGCTAACCACTCCGTACTTATTTAGGAATGCAACAGAGGAATCTGCATCATGTAATTACCAATGATACCATATGGCATATAATCTTCACTTCGATTCGCCTGAATCAGCGTGGCTCAACCCTACCCTATCTTTTCCAGCCGTGATGTTGGCTCCCGGATCTTGGCGGAAGTCCGGGGAGTGTTGGTCTTGGGGCGCTCAGACACGATGCTTTAGCCGCAAAGCTGACATGCGATGTGCTCGGCTGTTTGACCGTTTTGCGTTCGGTCGAAGCGGGATTCTGGAATAATCTAAGTGGTGTAGACACTGGCAGTAAGGAATCAAGCATCGTTTCAACTGCCTCCCCTGGTGCTCATTTGCTGGTATTCCAATGTCCACACCTTGGCGACGTAGTTGCTAGGGATTCACGACTCCATTTTGTCATTGGTTCTAACCTTTCACTTCCTTGGAATCAGGACAACACATGGCCCTTTGAATCATATGCAAAGATGTTTGCCATCGGTTGTATCAACGTGAAGTGAAGATCTGAGCAAGGAAATGCCGTCTGGGGCGCGACGGACGTAGATCAGTCTCCACTCTAGGGCGCATTCACCGGCCGGCAGGAAAGTCTTTGGCCGATGTGCCGTAGCGCCGGTAGCCGGCAGCCGGCGATGAAGGCCGCTCCGTTATTGAGTCTGACTCATTGCAGCAATTTCCCAGTGCTGGCAGGCTCTTCACTCGGTCGCTTAGCCGTCACTGAATCGTCTTCGGTGATTTAGCTAGCCTGGAATGAGTCCCTCTGTAGCACCCGACATCGGCTTCCTATCTGATTGAGCTAAATAGCGTTCTGTCGTGACAAGCAATCAACTGGATGAAAGCTCTAGGATTAGGTTTACGGGTCTTATTTCAATATTTCCATACAGCCACAACATCTCGCCGTTGAAAGCCTGTCGAAAATGGCATCAGTTAATCCAGAAGCACCCCTCGAGGGCCAAGGTCGCGTTCAAGTATCTGTTTACGCTCGCTTCAGACCCTTGCAGAAGCGCACCATCACTGCCATTGCTGCATTTTGCGGCTTCCTCGCCCAGGCTTCAACGACAAGCGTTTTGGCGGCTGTCCCAGAGATCGTCGAAACTTATCATACAACAGCGAATGTAATCAGCATCAGTAATGCGGTCTACCTTGCGTTCATGGGCCTTTCGTCATTGATCTGGGGACCCTGGGCCGACATTTTCGGCCGCCGCTCTGTATGTTACGACTTCATGACCAGTCACCTTACAGAAGAACACTTCTAATTGAGTCATAGGCCTATCTTTACAGCATCACGCTATTTCTAGTCTTCACAATTGGTACGGCTTTGACGCCTCAACTAGAACTTTTCTTCCTATTCCGGGCCTTCACGGCGTTTCAGGGAACTTCCTTCCTCATACTTGGGTCCAGCTGCATTTCTGACATCTATCACCCGGTAAGATCACTCACACCAAACGCACCTCAAGATGTGTGGCTAGGCTGGCTGACTAGGACTACAGACTGAGCGAGCCACTTCTCTGGGCTGGTTCTTGAGTGGCACCACCGTCGGCCCGGCTTTTGGACCGCTTCTCGGTGGCATAGTCGTCACCTTTACTTCGTGGCGTGTCATCTTCTGGATCCAGGCTTCACTTGCTGCTACTGCACTTGTTCTCGTTTTCTTCTGCCTCCCTGAGACTCTGCACCAGTCTCGCGAGAGCGAACTAGCAGGGCTCGGGCCACTGGAGAAATGCAAAAAGCTTTGGCAATGGGGAAACCCAGTCAGAGTGGTCAAGATCTACGGGAATAGAAACATGCTTCTCATTGTAAGGTCGCCCCATCGTAGCTGTGCCCACAGGTACTACTGCAAAGCCGCTAACAAATCAGTGCCTCGCTTCCTCATCTTTGGTTTGGAACATGTACTCTCTACTCACCCCGATCCGATACGTTCTTAACCCTAGGTTTCATCTTACTACGCCACTGCAATCCGGTTTGCTGTACATTGCACCTGGAGCGGGATACGTTATCGGCTGCCAGATTGGCGGTCGATGGGCTGACTACACCGTGAGCTCGTGGATCCGAAAGCGCGGCATCCGCTTGCCGGAGGACAGACTTCGAAGCAGTCTCATCTTCCTTGGCCTGATGTTGCCAGCATCCATGGTTCTGTACGGCTGGACGTTGGACAAGAAGTTTGGTGGTATCCCTCTTCCTATTATCTGTATGTTTTTGCAAGGTATCGCACAGTTGGCTGCGTTTCCAAGCTTGAATGCTTACATTCTGGATGTTATGCAACAACAAAATGGCGAGGCTTCAGGTAAGTTGTATGCGTGTTTTTGGACCACGCGTATAACAATGACACTAACGAGTTCGCAGCCAGCCACTACCTCATGCGATATATGTGCGCAGGCCTTGCAACTGCGGTGTGCCTTCCTTTAATAGAAGCAATTGGTGTCGGTTGGGTTTCAACAATGTCAGCTGGGATACAATTCATCTGTGCCGTACTTGTATACCTGACCGTTCGACTCGGCGAAGGCTGGCGGCAAACACATCAACTACCTATTCCGCTGTAGCCTGTGGATACCTAGGTTTTGTATCTAGTTAGTGGTCTTCATTTGGCATGCTTTTCTGGGTTTGTGTTCCTCAAAGAATACTCCACTAGGCGGAAGATAGATTTGGATATTGACTTGTATGTACCAGTCAGATTTGACACTTTTCTCCATGTATATACACGTGCCCAGCCACCTGCAGGGATTTCTTCACCAACACTTGATAGCCTGATTGCTATTAGAACATAGATGCTCGCGTAACTCAATCAGTCTCATCACCCGTCGCAAACTCTCCAGCCTTGATCTTGTCGCTAAGAGCCTTGTTCTCTCTGATGTACACAGCAAGATCGGTCCGCTTCTCGAGAAGAAGGTCCGCAACAAGGCGACCAAAGACAACCTCTCCAGCAGAGTTCAGGTGAGTAGAGTCGCCCGAAGCAAGGTCGTACTTGTGTCCGTTCTCGTTTCCAATGGCGTTGATGTAGTTGGTGCTGGCGGTGTTGAGATCAAGGTACGTCGCGCCTACGGCCTCTGCGGCGGCGATGGCTCTAAGGCGCTCAGTTTCCAAGTTCTGGATGACCTTACCGCCACTGAAGGTGCGGCGCGTAAGTGATGTGATCAAAATCTGCGTTGAATGTTAGTATGCTTGATGGATACATTCCTTTCACCTTCCTACTCACAGGAGTTCCCCCTGCAGCCGTGACCTCGTTGGCTAGCTTCTCCAAGTTCGCTTGGAACTGGTCGGCAGAAATGTTTGCCGCTGCCTTTTGGTCATTATGACCAAACTGAATCGTGACAATCGGGCTGAAGGCTTCTTTGTTCGCCTCTACCTCGCCAATGACGGTGTTCCAAATACCCTGAGCCCGGAACGACACAGTCGTCGCTCCACTCTTGCCATAGTTCTTGCCATCGGCCGGGGACTCAACAAAGGAGAGGAAGCCATTTCCCCAACCTCCACCGATGGCAACAGTTGAATCACCCGTCAAGAGAAAGTAGGGCGGCTTTGCATCGCGGGTCTGAGGTGCGCTGACCGGACTGAACGGAACAGCGGAAACGGTCGTGAACGCCGTGGCGACAACAGAAAGAGCTTGGCTGACTCTCATTTTTGCAGCTTTTGGGGGTTTTTGACTGGAACGACTGGGAATTTCGCTAGGAAACGCTAAACAGCATCAAAAGACGCGAATATGATCGCAATGAGTTAAACTGTCTACGTAACTAAGCTTACGGGCTTGATATAAAGCCATGGAAAATGAATCTTTAATCTATTTCTCCCCTTCTAACAAACTGTCAAAGTCGCATCGTCGCATCTCGGCGGAGACTGAGCCGAAAGAAGCGATGACACCAAGCAGGGCGCCAATGCCGCGATGTCCCCACGCCAATCCCACCAATAACTCTCGGTTTTATATATTGACGTCTCGCGCACCTCCTGGTATAGTCAAGGTTTAATTCAGGGCGCGGCACAATTGCTGCGGAGATGAGATCTTGCTTCCGCTGATCGTATGGTGAATCTGGATGACCTCGGGCAACGGGAAGCTTGGCATGCAACAGTGCGGGGGAGTCCACGCCTGTCACTCGGGCTGCTCCGTGGCATCATTCGGCCGACATGCGCGGACCACGTGCAAAGATTTACTTATGTGCCGGGCGATATTTCTGATATATCTCGTCGCGAGGCCATACTCGACTCGCACATGAAGGTGTGGTTCCCAGAGAGTAGTAGACCCTGATGTTGATGATGATTGGCAACTCTTGGCAACCACACATCTCAAGCCTACATGTACAAGGCTTTATTGAATTTGGTGTTGATGTTTAAGGTTGACGTCATGCGCACTAGAATGGGAACAGCGTCCTTCGTAAAATCCTATATCAACTCTACCGAAGCAGTCAACTTGGCGCATTATACCAGTCTCAGCATGCTTCGTGCTCCTGGCGAGGGCCCCTGGAATTCGACTTCACCCTTGCTTGCCCTTACTTCAAGAGGTGAAATACTAATTCGGCCAAACTATTTTCGGACAAAAATTGACTATTGGGATTGGATGTTCGCATGTGCACACACAACGTCTAGCCTCATAGGGGTTGTTGAGATGTCTCACCTGCACGATGCCCGTTCAGGCAAGCAATGACGTGATGCAAGATTTCCTCGAGAGTAAAACTTGAAATGTTGAATTGCAATAGACTCTCTAGAAAAACGCATTTTAATAAACCTCAAAATTCAGACCACTAGCACTTTCTGATGCAGTGTTGGAAAATAGGCAAACGATTATCTGCAGACCCATTCCCTTCTTACTTGCCCGAGTGAGATCATCTCCAAAGCTTCACTTGAATCCACCTTAGAATCCTCAGAGCTTCGGTAATGGCATCTTTTCACTTGTTCTCAGAGCTCCCGTTTGAATTACGCATCCACATATGGCACCTTGCGAAAGAGCCGCGGACTCTGGTTGTCCGCACCTGTGATGAACCCGCGAAATATCGCCGTCAACCGCTCGAGTCCACCTTGATATATTGCCGTTCACCGAATACTGTTCCCGCAATTTTGCAGACTTGTCGAGAAGCGCGCAACATCGGTCTGTATGCTAAAGCATTCTCTGATGGCTTGACCCCACGATATGTCTGGGTTGATTTCGATCTTGATACGATCCAAGCTTCGTTTTGGGATCTGAAATTGATGGGAAGCGACAAAAGCCTGTTTCAGTGTTTAGTTGTGGAAGTGAACGATTTGGGGTCCTTTAGGCGTCACTACAGCGATGCCCTCGCTGGCGTCGCAAATCTCGACACATTCCGAATACTTTCGAAAAGGGGACTAGAGGACTGGAGTATTGCGATGGATGAGGTTCCGGGAGTAGACACAACCTCGTCTATACAACGGGCATTGACAATTCCTACGACTGTGCTACAGGGCCACCTTTAGAAGGAACTGCCTGATCACAGTCAGACCCAGCACATGCTTTCGATATCGTCTGATTTGATGGTGTTATCCTCTTATTGAAGTCGCCTATGAGTGGTGGTGCTCCTCGTTCTCTCCTTCTGGCGGAAAAGGCGGCTCGGCTCCCTCGACACTGGGATCCCAAGATGGATTGGGGCCGGCATCGCGCCACCGCACCGACCTTGGGCCATGCTTATTCCAGTCCAGAATGGCATCGAAGTCTCTGCAAGTGTGCATCGAAGACCAGTTGGGCAGAGCATCTCGTCTTTTCGGGTTGTTTAGGGGATCAACGAACAATGCGGGCGTTACATCTCCTTGACATTGCAAGTTCATCCTCAGCATGTCGATGCAGTGGTCTGTATTGTCAGATTCGGCCTCGTGCGTTGGCTTCCGGGAAATATCAGACTCACCAAAGTGGCTGTAGATATTTTCATCAGGGACACCTTCGTCCAAGAATTTGTAGTGCTCGTAATTATAGAAAAGCCCCATTCTTAAAGAGTTCTAAAATACTTAAGTGTCAGCACCGCATAATGGCTCATAGAAGATCGGCGAAGGGCCTACCAAGCAGTGAAGCAGATGGAAGACTTCAAGCATCGCCAAGTAACCGCCTCCATGCTCGTCGGGCACTTTGTGGAATGGCATTTCTGGCGAGTCGGTCATGTTGAGCAATCTCAGTTCCTCAGCTGTGACACGGATGCCACCAGCCCCAAGTTCAATCTCGTGCCATGCGATGTCAACATCGTTGGAGTGCGTCCCGGGTGGACCGCGCCATTTGTTAGTCTGCCTGAATTCAGCGTTGTAATGCTCCGGTGCTTTGTATTTGACGGCCTCAAATGCCGGCGCTTCATTGATACTCAATCAGCCAGGGCTCGGGGGAAGGGGAGGAAAGTGGACTCATCGGTGAGTACTCACAAACCGTCGATAGGCTTTCAGTGCACTTTTGTAGAAACACGGTCCGAGACTGAATCGGAGAGAAGTTGTAAACTAGAACAGCAAGTGTGACCAGGTTGGTCAAGCCAAGCCAAACTGTTGATCGAGGCCAGCGATGCGTGAACCAAGGCGCTGAAGTTGATGTTCCTCCTGCCTTGCCCTCTGATTGTGGTAGACTTTCATACGACGATTTTATTTTCCACCACATCTTTGCAAATGATACCGATGCTTGAGAAACAGGTGGTGTTCTATGTATGATGTTGGCGAGAACGAGAGGAGGTTAGACATAACGTAAAACAACAATCCCCAGCGCAACTTACCACCTCATTCGGAACCCTGCCCACCTCCCGCCCAGCCATCAGCAACCTAAGTGGCAATAGGCTTGCACTATTACGCCTTGTATGGGCCGATGAGACTCTCGCCAGCCTGCTTCTGCATAGTGCGATCCTTCAAGTTTCGAGCTTCTTATTCAGGCCTAGTTTCCGCAGAGGAGCCGCTTCAAAAATCCCAGGTCATCATATTGTGGACCACGTCGACATAAGCTTTGCGGCCAAGCCCGTCCACTTAGAGTGGCGGGATGGGTTGCATATCTAGGAATCGGGCACACCTAATCGTGGAAGTCCGAGTGTGTGTGACAATTAGAAGCGCAACCCCGCCACTGTGGGATCGGATCCCCGGCCCAAGGCCTGCCCGCTTACTTGTGTTTCTCTCTCTTTGAATGGCTAGATTTGCGAAGAGAAAGTTCGGGAGCTCCCAGGCAACCGTCAAACCCAACGGTAATTCGTCTTAGTTGCAGGTGTCTGGTCGTGAGAGGACGGCCTTGATAGGTTAGAACTTATCCATCACCCTCCGTCTCTATTTACCTTCCCTTCTAGGACTTACGAACCCGCATGTTTGGCCAGAAGATAGACGAGAAGCGCTGGAAGGGCGCTGTTGTGCTAAGAGCTGCAGGATCGGATAAGGCGCAATGGGTTCGAGCCATTCGTCATCCCCGAAGGGGGTTACATTTCTCTCATTGTATTGTCGCACTAGGTCTCTGGATACTATATAACGTACTTGAACTTGATCGTGGACTTTCTTGAACTTTGATGCCAGTCGTCCATCTCCCAAACTATCGTAATTGTTCCGAGTCCCCGTCATTATGCAGCTGTCTATCATCACCGTCCTCGCCCTCCAGGCTATCGGCGCCGTCGCCGCTCCTGTCGCCGCCCCGGCCGTAGACTACGCCGACCTCGCCAAGGACTCGATTTACATCAAGTCCGTTAACACGTACAAGCGCAGAGAGGAGGATAAGCGCGAAGCCAGCTACGCCGACGCCGCAAAGGCCAACATCATCATCAAGTCTGCTGGTACCTACAAGCGAGACGAGGAGAAGCGTGCCCCCGAGGCCGACTACGCCGACCTCGCCAAGGACTCCATCTACATCAAGTCCGTCAGCACTTACAAGCGTGGCGAAGAGGAGAAGCGTGAGCCTAGCTACGCTGATGCCGCAAAGGCCAACATCATCATTAAGTCTGCTGGAACTTACAAGAGGGATGAAGAGAAGCGGGAGCCCAGCTACGCCGACGCGGCGAAGGCCAGCATCATTATTAAGTCGGCCGGAACCTACAAGAGAGACGAGGAGAAGCGGGAGGCCGGATACGAGCAGCTTGCCAAGGACTCTATTAAGATCAAGGCCGTCAACACCTACTAGACTGGCGAGGAAATGCTTGACGAAGAGTAAGCGAGTGCGATGGAAGACTTGACCAGGTCTAGGGCTTGCAAGTTACGAATCACTTGACTTTACCACGCTCGTTAATGCACATCATCGGTATCAATTACCCACATCATGCTCTACATGTATACATGTGCACTTCGTCATCCTCATCGCTCCTATACAAGCCCAGAAGTCAGGAGTGATAGGTCGTTGAAATTAAGTTACCAAAGTCCCTTGGATCTGCTTCCCACAAACTTCTCGTCCTTGATTCCATGACCTTACTGCGGAAAGAGAGACAACTCTTTGACCGGCCATTCGTACTTGCGCTCATATTCAGTCTCAAATGTCCATTCACCAGACCCGACCATTTCCACCCTCTTGCCATCCTTGGTCGGCAAAACTACTTCCATCTCAGTGAGAGGCGGAACCACCACGTTGACCTTGAGTCGCAGACGCCCTTCTCCCTCGTCGGCCAACTTCCATGCGCAAGCAACCTTTCCATATGGCGTGACATGCTCGGCAGAAGCATTCGTCAACTCTGCACCTAGGATCGGCTTCGCTCTTGATCGCTTCCACCCAGGCTCCAGGCGTTGCAAGCCTGCAAGTCGTTCGACAAGGAACTTGGCAACCGCTCCAAAGGCGTAGTGATTGAAAGAAGTCATGTCGCCAGGGTTGATCGTGCCATCGGGCAACATACTATCCCAGCGCTCCCATACCGTAGTAGCCCCCATGGCGACGGGGTACAGCCAGGAAGGACACTTGCGGTTGAGGAGCATCGCGTAGGCTACGTCGCTATGACCTGTCCGAGTGAGAGCTTCGCAGATGTACGGTGTTCCAGCGAACCCAGTGCCGATCCTGAAGCCGTTTCGGCGTACAATCTCTGCGAGCCGACTCCCTGCTCTGGCTGCCTGATTTTCCGAAATGAGGTCGAAGCAGATGGCAAGGGCGTATGCCGTCTGCGAGTCTGACGTGAGACGTCCGTTGCTGCTGACGTACTCGTCCTGAAACTCCCGACGGGCGGCATCTGCTTCTTTCTGATAGCGTTCAATGTCTTTAGGTTGTGACAAGAGCGCCGCAATCTTGGTGATGAGGTCGAGAGACCTGACGAGAAAGGCGTTGGCGACCAGGGGCGGATCGGTCACTGCTTTCATGGGCTCATCGGGAGGGGCGTTGGGGTCAAGCCAGTCCTAGAAATGTCAGTGAAAACATTTACCCTCGGTACATTCTTTCCAACCTACCCCAAGCTGGAACAGGTTGAAATCCCATAGATGGGTAGAACCGGTCTCGTTCCGGGGAATCACATCAATCCAAGTCTTCATGGACTCGTATTGATCTCTCAAGATACCAAGATCAGCAGACTCTTCGTAAAGTGCCCAAGGGGCAAGTATCACGACATCGTGCCAGATCGCGTTGGCGCCAATCTTGCTCCAATTCTTTTGCCCGATGAGCACGTTCGGGCACACCATCGGAGGGACACCGTCTAGAACCTTTTGATCATGGGCAACATCGGCCAGCCAGTTCTTCAAAATGCCAAAGCAGTTGTATATGAAGGTGGCAGTTGGCGCAAACAACGCCAGATCGCCCGTCCACCCCAGGCGCTCATCTCTCTGGGGGCAATCAGTCGGCACGGACAGGAAGTTGCCGCGCATCGACCACCGGACGTTGCTGTAGAGCTTGTTCAAGTCGTTGTCGGAGCACGTAAAGTTACCGACTTCTTCCATGTCCGTGTGACATACACAGGCCTCAATCGCGTCTTTGAGATCTGGGGCGGTGGATGGCCAGCCATCGACTTGGACGTAACGGAAGCCGTGGAAGCTGAAGCGCGGTTCCCATGTTTCGCCGCTCTCGTCGCCTTTGAGTGTGTAGACATCCTCGGCTTTGCAGTCTCGTAAAGGTCTGGTTCCCAATTCCTCTTTCTCTAGGACTTCCGCGTGGAGTAGAGTAATTTGGCTCCCTCGTTGACCTTTGACGTTGTTGATGCGGATGAATCCGACAAGGTTCTGGCCGAAGTCCAAGATTGACTTGCCCGAAGGGGTCGTGATAAATTCCAATGGCTTCACATATTCAAGTCTCTTGACCGGTTCTCCATAGCCACAGATGAGATTTGTCGTTTCCGGGAGCTGGGGAAGCACTTGCACGGTTTCCCATACCCCGGAAGGCGAATTACTGAGTGACCACCCCGGAATTTCCGCAGTAGCATCGTACTTTTCGCCGTCGTATATCTCTGCGAGCTTGATAGGCCCTCGAGTAGTCGTCCAGCTATCATCAGTGACCACGGTCTCAGTGGAGCCATCCTCATAGGTGATCTCAAGCTGTGCAAGAGCCGCAGTGCGGGTGCCCCAAATACTTCGTTTGCCACCCTCGAAACCAATACGACCATTAAACCATCCTTCGGCTAAGCGTATAGCAATGCAGTTCGATGCATTCGATGCAATGTGTGCCGTGACATCGTAAGTCTGGTACTGTAGTCTCGCGTCGTATGCCGTCCAACCAGGGGCCAAGAAGTAGTCGCCAATTCTCTGGCCGTTGATCTCGGCTTCGTAGACACCCTGTGCCGTAGCGTAAAGTCGTGCAGAGCGCACTTTGTTCTTCGCTTCAAAGACCTTTCGGAACAAGTCCTCTGGTTGCGGACCGCTCTTGCTATCTTCCGCCCACGGCGCTGAAATCAGGTTGCCGGTCCAGTCGCTGCGGACTAAGAGACCAGTCTCAAAGGAGAAGGGTTCGCTCCATGGCGAGAAGTCAGTTGCGTTTTCGTCCTTGGCTCTGATCTCTATCGAGAACGTTTGTCGTGACTGTATAACGATGTCTTCGGGCCATTCGGCTGACGATGAGCTGAATCCGTGGCTGTTGGACGGGGCGCTTATGACCGAGTGAGAGCCATCGGGCTTCTGTATCTTGACTTCCCAGCCGCCAAGGTTGAATTTTGAGGGCGCGTTGCTGAAGCGCCAGGAGACCTGAGGACGTCCCAGGTGAATGCCGAGTGTGTACGGCTGTCGATAATGATCGACCCGTACGTCAACCACGCGAAGTCCTGCCATTGCAGTATGTCTGCGTCTTAGACTCGGTTCATACAGCTATAGATGTAATTGAAGGCTAGAACTGAGCTGCCTTAAGTTGCTTGGCTATGAAAATACGAGTCTCGAGAAGTTGTCCACAGTGATGTTTCGAAATCGTCCGTAAGTGCCACGGCACCATATTTCAACTACTTGAATGAAAATCATCGGTGCGATGATGTAACGAGCGGACCAGAAGAGACCGACGAGCTGTCTGAGGTTTGTCTGGTGATGAGGTGTGGATGGCCGCTTTTCTGGAGCTTGATCCTGGGCAGAAGAGGGGCGTTCCGCACTATTGAGAGGATCACCAATCAGATATCCCCTCTACTCCGAAGTAAAGCCTCCAAAGTCCAAAATAGGAACTTTGAGACTTGAAGAATCGCCGGTGTTTTGCCATCCCCTCACGTTAGTTTTCCGTCGTGGCCGAGCTAAGATCCGGTGGCTTCGACACATCATCGTTGCATCTGACCTTCTAGTCGACTCGGGTTTTCAGTTTCTCACACAGTAGTTGAGATGTAAGTTATATGACATGACTTCGTCAAATGCACACGAAAGCTGCGTAGATCGAGGTGTCTTTTGGAGGAGTAGGCTTAATGGCTTCTGAGTCTTCACTTCCGCTATAGCTTTTCAAGGCATTGTAGCTTGTAGAATGTAGAACGTGGAGCACGGAAATGGCCGACATCAAATACGATGCCTGATGATTAGCTACTATATTACAATGACATGGGGAAATCGCTGCTAGTCTGTAGAGTTGTACAACAAAGCAAATTTTGGGTATACATGTGTGCGGCCAGGTTCATCATTGACCTGACAAGAACGTCTTCCACCGCTCTATTACCTCGTTCCTCTCCGCTTCCGTTGACCTCCTGAAATCATCGATACCCTGTCGTAACCGAATAAGCAGTACCTCGGCCTTGAGCGCCGTAAGTCTGTGTTTTGAGAATTCCTTTTCTATGCCCTTTAATGTGTATCCAGGGAGACCAAAAATAGCTGCACGGCTGTTAGCATCCATTTCATCAGAGTAACGATACCTCGTCCTAACGGTTGTACGGGAAAGGGGTCCAGATCAACACGCGATAGACTTACCAGCAAAGAGATTAAACGTAAACCCGCGACCAGCCTGGTAAATGCCCTTTCCGAACCCCTTAACTCCCTCCCTCTTGGCCCCCTCGTACGGCTTCACGACAACACCGCTAAAAGCCTCCCACGTTCCCAAAACAAACTCCTTGCCAGATGTCCGCAGACCGCTTCCGAGACCGGTGATTTGGTCCCGCCGCCGCACCTCGTGTCCGATGAACCCGTAAGAAGGGTAGTTGTGAAACCCGTTGGCGACATTATAGCACACTGCCACCGGCGCCTTGAGACCAGCCTTGACAAGCTCGATGCCGTATCGCCCCGTCGCGCGCGCAATCTCCGTCGGCCTGTTGCGTTTCTTGACGAGGGTCGCCACGGAAGACTTGCGTCTACCGCGTTCGTCGACGTTGTTGGCGTCCATCATGGCGATTTCGACGGCCGGGTCGGCGCACTGGAGGGACTTGGTCGCCATCTTCATGGCGATGGCGTTCATCTGCTTCGGGGTCATGCTGTGCGCCTTTGCCACGCGCTTCAAGTGACCATCCTCCCCGTCCTCCGCCTTGCCCTCTTGGCCCGGCTGAACGTCTGGTCCCTCGCTAGGTTCCGCCGAGGGTTCGCGCGTCGTGTTGCTTTCCTCCTCGGGCTGCTTTTCGTGCGCTGGGCGCTGGGCCTCGAGGTCAACCGCGTGCATCCGGTTTTGAGCGGCTTGAGGCGGGTGCTTCAGCCGGTGCGAGTAATCCGACGTCGCCACGCCGATATTCGTGAAGAAGCCTGATACCGCGGCTACAAGGCCGATGAGAGGGTGTTCGGCGCCCTCGTCGACGTACCAATGCTTATGCTTTAGCAGCTTGAAATCGTGAGGCTTCATGTACCCCTTATCGACGAGACATCCGACCGCGAAGTTACTGAGGTGCGCACCCGTCTTCCTATGTCGCCAGTTGGCTAGTCTCTCTGGGCAAATGTCGCATCGCATCGTGTCGAGAGCCAGTCGTTCCTGAATATCCCTCGCCGTATCCCCCGCGCCGTCCTCTTCCGCAATTCGCTCCGCCATCTGCTGCACCGC